AGAATTTAAAAGTCGATTTCATTGCTCCTTTAAACTCCAAGGGGACATAAAAACTCAGACAGTTAAAAGTGAGCTGCAGTAAATCCCCTCTGACTGACTCCACTCCTTCAGGAAACAGAGCAGCTGAGGCAGATTGCATCACCACATGTTCTTACAGTGTGAAGAACTCACGAGCCCACAGACAGGACTGGAGGCTTTGTTTGAACGACACTGCACAGTGATGTACAGAGTGCCAACAACTGAAGGACAGGAGAGTGTAAAATGGACAGAATTATCCAATAAACCACAAAGGTCAAAATGTGCTGTAGAACTAGAAAACTGCATGCTTATACTGAAAATGACAGGTGTAAACACTGTAAAATGTCTCAAAACGACTTTGTTTTGCAGTGAAATATTGTTTATGTTAATCAGTATTGGAAGTTAAACTGAAGCACTTAAAGGAGCAGCTGAGGCTAAAGCACTGAAGCTGAGCTGTCAGTTAAACTTAGGGCTGGGTACCAAACTTTGATGCATTTATGACACTGACCGCATTGCTTTGATACTACCGAGCACCGAAGAATAGAAGAAAGCCTTGTCATTCGGTACCAAATTTAAATACCTACCGTAACCACAGAAATAGTCAACGCAGTAACAGAATCTGGATCCATATCTGATCAGCACTGTTTGACAGTTTGATCTGAGTTTGGTGCGTTGAGCTTGGCGGACTCACCAAGAATGAGCTGTCAATCACAAGGTAGCCCCGCCCTAAAGCATACCCTGCTTTATGGTCTGTTTTACTCTAAATGGGACCATCAGTTACTAAATGAACATCATGCTGTATGGAAGAAGACTGAAACTAGAGACTGAGACCAGAAACTCATCAGGAAACTGTTTACTGAGCTCATAAATCAAGTGGAAAGTCGGCTAATTTCTCCAGAAGACTGGATACTAGTGGTGTGTTATTGCAGCCAATGGAGCTCCCCCTGCTGACCTTTACATAGAATGCAGGTTTAAGACACTTCCACGTCGGCTTCACTTCACAGACCTGGACCAGAACCCGCCATCCACCCCAACCATGTCCTTGTCTCTCCACGGCGTTATATAAATGTGATGTTTCAAAAAACTGAGCGTAACCCAGGCAGAGATTACGTTGCCACAACAAAGTAATTATGAAAACAATTCAGTAATGCACAAACACTCTCTCTGGGAGACAGGGTTGGTGTGCACTTATATAACGTTACAGCATAATAAAACATGTGAAACAGAGTGATAATAGAGATGGAGCAGAGTGGAACAGAGTGACAGCAGAGTGGAGACAGGAGCACGAGCTATCTGATGTGTTTTAAAGACTTGTTTGGAATGAACTCAACAATACACTCACAGCAGTTAGTCATGATTCAGTCATCAATACGGACAGGTCCAGAAACACACCCTGAGGGGAGGGAGAGGAATGAAGGAAAGGAAGGAGAGGAAGGAAGGAAAGAAGGAAAGGAAGGAAGGAAAGGATGGTTCAAATGAAGTAAGAAGCAATGGACTTAAAAAAGAAAGGAAGAGAAACAGCCAAAGAAATACAAGAAAAAATGGATTCAGAGTTTGGGACTGAGGGAGAAGAGAGAGAGAGGGGGAAAGAAAAGATGGATGGAGGGAGGAAAAAGATAAATACAGAAGAAAATAACTATATTTGGGATGAGACATGTAAAAGAAAGGAAAGGGAAGGAATGAAGGAGGAAGGAGACAATGGAGGTTTGGAAGCAAAAGAGAAAAAAGTGAGATTGAACGAAAGGAAGAGCAAAAGAAGAAGAGAGGAAAAGGAAGTTGTGAAATGAAAAAAAAAGAAAGCGGAAGAGAGAGATAGTGAGAAAAAGAGACAATAAAACATTTTAGGAGGCAAAAGAGAATCGAAGGGAAGGAGATACGGAGGGAGGAGGACTGATGGAAGACTGATGGAGGAGCAATGAAAAGGTCAAATAAGAGAGAGGAACCACACCCATAAGGAGAGCAGGAGGGGGTGATGTCAAGAGGGGGGGAGAGGGGAAGAGAGGGGAAGGAGAAGGGAGGATGAGGAGGGAGGGAGTCCCACCCTGAATGACAGAGGAGGGGATTTCTACTGGAGCTACAGAACTAGAGTCAGAACCAAATCCAGAACACTGTAAAACTTGATGAGTGACTTCAACTCAAACTAATGAAAAACAAATTCATTGTTAAGGTCATGTAAGTTAATTGTACTAAAAATTATGTAAGTATATTACACTCAAATGCAGCATTTCTCCAAAATATGTGTTGATCTGATTAAAGTAACTTAAATACATCTTCATTATACAAATGTTCCCACTTAAATTCATTTTACTTTTCAAAGAACTATTTCAAAATAGTTTATGTATGATAAAAATAATTAGGGTTACAGTTAATCGATTATCAGAATGGTAGCTAATTTATTTTGGGGCTTACATTTGTAATGATATAAAGTCAACTTAAAGCAGAAGACTCAAAACAGCTGAGTTATTATTTTAAAGGCATACTATGCAGTTTTCCGGTTTTGTCAAACAGCTACCCCTAGAGTCGCTGCGGAGTACTTGTATTTAACGTTAACTGTCGTAAATACCACTTACCAGAGCCGTCTCTGTATACGGCTCTGCGTCTCTGCACTCACGGCCTGATCCCCTCCCCCCTGTATACCGGTACATGTTCAGTAGGATGGAAGCGTCGGACATGCCGTAAAGCAATTCGTGATTCTCGCGAGATTTGGCGGGACGCCACCTTTCAGACTTACATTGCTGGTTCTGCCAACGGCGTCCCTCTCCTGCTTTGCTATCGGGATGATTCACTATACTACGAGTTTGTTTACCATCGAAATGACTCCACCCTGCAAATCTCATGCTGTTTTATTAAGGTACAAATCTTGCATAGTGTGCCTTTAACAATTGGATTAAGTTATGTTAGTTTACTAATTTTATTATATGCTGTTAGGATTTACAGTGTAAAAGTAATAATACCCAACTGTACAAGTCCTGCATTCAAATCCTCAATAAGTAAACCTATCATCAGCAAAATGAAAATACTTAAAGTAAAAGTAAAATGAATGTCATGCATGTAGTATTTAATATGATGTTATTATATAGACTGACTTCCAGCCTCCAGCTGTTTGTAGTTCAGTCTGGAGTAATGCATCATATTCTGTATGTTAGTAACGTGGCTGTCCTGCAGGGGCGGATCTAGAGACTTTAAGGTGTGTACAAACAATCATGTGCATCAATATTAGCTTGGAAAAACCCCAAATTAAGATATTTGAACTCAGAAACTTTATTGTGGCACGTTAACAAAGCAGTGAACAGAAATATCTAAAGGTGGTGAAATCAATACATTGTTTTATTTCTCTACTCTATTACTTTTCTCGTTGAACTTAAAGTTGCATCAGGTCATTTTTATAAAAAATATTTTTTGGCCATATTTGGTGAACTTTCACTATATCCTGACAGGAGAACATGAGACAGATCATCAGGTTCCTCTGGTTCCTCCTGATGCTCCTGCAAAAATCCACCGGGCCCGAATGAAAACAACCAATCAGAGCAGAAAGATAGCTGATTGCTGAGTATTTGAATCTCCGGGAATAAGACCATAATCATCTATCTCTAAGCCTCCAACACAAAGTGTCTTTATATCTTTCTCCACTCTGGTTGTTTTCAGGTGGATTCTGATATAATAGTCGGCTCTGTAGATAAAAACGTCTCATTCTAAGGTAACAAAAACACGATTCCTTTATTCAGGTGATTATACACCAATGAAAACATAGCTATGGATATTATATTCCATTTCTGACCTGACAATAAATCTTCCTCAATGTTACACATTGGACTTTTAAAATGACTCGATTCCACCATCAAAAAGTGGTTCAGTGACAGAATCTAAGGGCAGCCTGCTGCTGCGGCTCAGTGACCTGAGGACACATAATCCTACCATCTCTCTGTTATTTTCTGCGGTTGTAAACATTTATAAGGCTCAACCCTGGATGATCTGACTCATTTGCCTCCACACTAAGACTGTGGCTGTAAATGAGTCTATAATTTGGACCAGTGGTTCTGAGTCCAAGCAGTCTGTGTGGGAGCAGAACAGCTGCAGTGATGGATACACACCAACATTCAAATGAATGCAGGAACTTCATGTTTTAACGCTTTCATCTCTCACAGGGAACATTTCTCAGCTGAAACTATGATCTAAAAACCACTATGGTCACTGGTGAAAAGATATATCAATATGTACCATATTTCCATATTTCACCAGGATTGCTTTAGTTTTCATCCTGTACAATGTGCAGATGATAGCCTGTTGTCACTTTGGAGTCTAAACCCACATCCAAAGGCAGAGAGGCAGAATAAACATAAAAACCTGCCTCACACTGGCCTCACACTGGTTGGGTTATCTCAGCATTTCATTTATTTCTATGAGAGAAAATAAATACAATTGTAATTTTTAAAGTTTAGATCTGAACACAAGCTACATTCACAGAGCCTCCAGTCTCTGATACACAGCGAGCAGAAAAGGACAAACTCAAATATCTATTAGGGACGTCCAGTGAAACACCACCAATTAATTATTATTGTTACTGTTGTTATTTATCATATTTGTGATGCAGTGCCCTCTAAGGTTTGTGATTGAACAAATATGTACACATTCAGACATTTATGATTATTATTGTTGTCTTTTTCATGCCAGTAAAGCTCATACATTGAAACTGGCATTAGTATTATATGTCATGTAACATGATTTAAGTTAATGAATGATTTGATATGTTTTTCAGGTCATTTTATTCATCTTAAAACTAGAATCCCTTTTTTTCTGATATTCTTTGACAAAGATCGATAATGGAAATAATCCTCAGTTGCTGCCTAATTGTCAGATGTGTAAACTGGCAGTGTGCCTGCTCTGTGAGCTCTTCAGTGTCTCACATCAGTGAATGTCGCCCCCTTGTGGTGGAGTGGAGTTTTTTTCCATCACCAAAAATAAATAAATAAAATGCAACCAAAGCAGCTTCAGGTCAAACTTTATCAGAATCTTATTTTTCACAACTTTGGTCAGAGTGAAGACAGCAGCTACACATTGCCAGTAAACAAATAAAAACATTTCTAATAAATAAAAATATATTTCACCTTCAGTTGTAAACACAGCTTGAGTTCTTGGTTCGCTGGTCCCGAGAGCCTTCGTCACAAAACAAACAAAAAGCTTTATCGATGGTCCTAAATCAGATTTTCTTCCCCACAAATTAAATTTAAACTTCAAATTAGAACCACATTACTCCGATGTGATCCAGATGGCTGTTTGTTTGAATAAAATGGGTTTTTTGTTTGTTTTTTGCCTTTATTTTGATAGCACAGCTCAAGATAGACAGGAAATGGGAAGAGAGAGAAAGAGGAGGGCACACAGCAACGGGCCACAGGTCGGACTCAAACCCCCTTCAGCCTTTGAACACAGGACGGCGGCTGTACCAGGTGAGCTACCAGGGAGCTCAGTCTTAATAAAAAGCAACCGATCAAACTCCCAGGATGGGAGTGGCATCAGGTGTTATCGGTGAAAACTTGTCCCAGGATGGAGAGTCGCGATCTGAACGGCTGAACAGGGCAGGTCAGCAGGGGGGGCGTCTTCTTCTCACCCGGTTTCAGTGCGATGCTCTCTGATTGGCCGGGCAGGGGGCCATCTGTCTGTTTAGCGGGCGGCTTTGATTGGCGGCCGGACTTTCCCGCAGGCTGCGATAGGCTGAGGAGGACGTCTCGGAGCTCCTGCTGGTCCTGGGCGTGGCGGCTGCAGCAGTACAGCGCCGCGGGGTCCAGAGGATGAGCCTCCGTGTTGAAGATGAACCCCCCCGCCCCTAAAACGCACTCCCCCGACTCGCCTCCCTCCTCCCAGGACCCGTCCCCCTCGCTCCCCCCGCCGTGCAGGAAGTGGGCGGGGTCAAAGAGCAGGTAGAGGTACTTGACGGTTTCGGCGAGAAAGAAAGACTCCATCCTGTTGTCCAGCTGGTGATCTCGCAGGTCTTTAACCTGCAGGAAGACAAACAGCCAGGGATGAGCGAGTACGCCGTTATCTGCATCTGTTACACCAACTACAAGATCTGCACTTGGAATGGAGGCGGGGCTTAAACCGGAAGTTGTTTATCGGTTGATCCGAAGTTGCTATAATTAGAGCAGTCTGAGAATAAAGCTTCAGATCAGAATCAGAATTTAGAGCGTTTAGAGCTTCGGACAGACAGATCTTACAGTGGCGTATCCGCAGGGCGTCTTGGCGATCCTCTCTATGGACTCCAGAGCATCGAGGCCCAGCTGGAGGTAGGTGTGGTCACCTGTCGCTCTGAACAGGTACATGGCGCTCTCTATTAACTCTGGAACACACAGAAACACAGCCGGGCAGGGACTTACTGAACTGATTCATTAGCTGGTTTAGTAATCAGGTCTGAAGAATTTCAAAATAAAAGCCCCCATGGCAGTGACCAGACTTTAACATTATGTCTCTGTGTAGTTGTTACACTCTCTCTTCCATGTCGTTGCTGGGTGAGAGGCAGGTGGACTGACCTGGTCTCAGTGGGTATCCCTCTCTCTTGTCCACAGTGTAACCCTGAGGGATGCTGTAAAACTCAGGTAGACCTCCAAACTGTCTCCACACTGAGTAATAATTCTGGAAAGTTCGCACTGCGCTGTCCAGGTTCCCCAGGAGAGACTGAAACACACACACACACACACACACACACACACACAATGCATATTTACAATTTCAAAGTGTGAGTATTTATCCATTGTTCAGCAGTGTAAAAGGTGCAGTATGTAAGAATATGTTAAATGTATTCTTTAAACAAACAAAGGGGGCAGCATACGACCAGCGTAATAGGTAACTGCTGCTAACTCGTTCGCTCAGTTAACCGTGGGGTCCTGTTATCTGTATATCTGTCTATGAGCTGACTCTGTCTGGACAGGAAGCTCGGAGCCATGCACCAGAACCGGAGCTGGGCGACTTTAACGTCAGGGAATAAATACAGTACCGTGGTGTTCTACAGCGGCCCTGACCAGGACTCTGACGCTAGGGACAACAAAGACAAAGTGACAGGAGAGGACAAGGGACTAACTAAAGTTCTTACATATTCTTTAAAAGATTGTGTTTCTGTGTAGTGCCTGTACCTGCAGGCCGGGCCAGAAGGCCTCCAGAGACTGGAAAACAGGCATGGAGACGGTTCCTTTGTGCATCTGGACCCACAGGTACCAGTCGTCGAATCGGGTGTAGTTCTGAATGGCTCGATCGTACTCTGACAAATGTGAAGTCACAGAGGTGTCATTATAACTACCGTCTCACTCTCCATCTGTCTGTTATCAGGGTAGTGCCCTGCTCAAAGGTCTCTGCGGGAGAAGGAAGAGGGCTGCGGGGTTACCCAGGAACATGGTGAGCAGCTCCTCGTCCTGCAGCATGATGGCTCCTTTCACCAGATACTCAAAGTAAGAGTCGACCCCGGCTCCGATACCGGCATCCTGGGCCACCCACTTCTTAGACAGGATGTCTATGTGGTTACCCACCTGGACAGACAGACAGGTAAAGAGAGAGAGACAGGTGTTCAAAAACCTCAAATCTATATCCCTCTTCCTCATCAGAATACACTGTATCTTTATGGATTATTGATCAGTATACACTGTATCTTTATGGATTATTGATCAGTATACACTGTATCTTTATTGATTATTGATCAGTATACACTGTATCTTTATGGGTGAGATTGATCAGTATACACTGTATCTTTATGGATGATATTGATCTGTATACACTGTATCTTTATGGATTATTGATCATATACACTGTATCTTTATGGGTGAGATTGATCAGTATACACTGTATCTTTATGGATGATATTGATCTGTATACACTGTATCCTTATGGATGATATTGATCAGAATACACTGTATCTTTATGGATTATTGATCAGTATACACTTATCTTTATGGATTATTGATCAGTATACACTGTATCTTTATGGATGATATTGATCAGTATACATTATCTGTATGGATGATATTGATCAGTATACACTGTATCTGTATGGATGATATTGATCAGAATACACTGTTCTTTATGGATGATATTGATCAGTATACACTGTATCTGTATGGATGATATTGATCAGTATGCACTGTGTCTTTACAGATGATATTGATCCTGTATTGACAGTCAGACTGTGGACATATGACGGCCTTTAGCTCGTGTTTCTAGAGTTACGTGTTGTTACGAACACGTTAGGAATTGTTAAAATGTGATATTTCTTAAAGGGAGTTTGGTGCAGGGAGCTTTTAGTTGGATTCAAACTGCTAATATGGATCATTGTTAACAGTTAGTCTCCACTACAGAAACACTAGCTAACTGTTGTCTGATGCTGACGTTGACTGCTGTTAGTTATTGGTTCCATAATGCTTTAATAATCTGTGTATTGATTGCTGATACTGGCTGATCAGGCTAAATATAATGGCAGTATGGTGTAAACATGATGTGTTTGTTTGTTGATGGTGTTGATTCCTGATGAAACCATGTGTAGCGTGAACTGTACAGAGATCTGACTACTTTGACATTTTAAGCCGTTGATGTTTCCATGGTTACTGAACTAAAACCAGACAGGTAGGTGGACTAGTTACCAGACCGATGTCGGATCTGGTCTTCCACAGCGCCCTCAGGGCTCGGCGGGCTACGTTCTCAAACGTCTCGTCTCCTGTTAGTCGACTCAGCGTGGCGAACTCCAGGATGAAGGTTCCCACGCCGGCGGTACAGGTGACAGGTGTTTCCGTGGGACTGACGCCATTTAGAAGGTTCACCGTACCGTACGGCATGCCGGTGGCAGTCTGGAACGCTACAATCATTCACACAACACGTCAGCGGGAAGCTACAGCTCACAGCACAGACACTGGACGGGAATCTGTTTATATTTCCATTAATGACTACATTTTCATTTTCTGTCCGACCAACACTCCAAAACACAACGATATAAAACACTGAAGCTGGAATCAATCAATGTTTGGCATTTGCACTTCATAAATAACTATTATATTATCAACCAAGTGTTTAATATGGTTGGTTATATGAGTATTAGTGAACTAAGGTTATTACAGTGAACTAAAACTAAAGTAAAAACTAAAACTAGGGGTTAGAAAACATTTTAGTTCACTGAAATAAAAATAAAAACTAGACTGAAAACCAACTGAAGGACGGAAGTGTGCTTCCAAGTTCCAAGTTTTAGCCAATTTGGTCAAACTTGTCCTTGACTTATTGTACATCTGTTTACTGAGACTGTGAGCCAGTGTGTTTGTATTAGAATACATAAATAATATCATATATTATTATGTTATAATAAAAAAACTAATACAAACTAAACTAAAATGAGCAAACTCACCCAGCAAACCAACAGATACTGAACTTAATAAAACAACAACAATTAAAAATAAAATAAAAATAAATTATAGAAATAGAAATAACTGTAAACTTTTGTGCCCGTAAAGCTCCATATGACCCTGAACCTAAACCTGATCCTGATCCTGATCCTGATCCTGAATCTGGTGAGTTTTCGTACCAGGAAGCAGTTTCCTGGCGGCGTCCTCGGCCATCCTCAGCAGCGGTCCTGAACAGGGCCAACCGGGCTCCAGCTCCATCCCCGCCCTACCTGCCAACAGGTGAGCCGACAGCAGACCACCCACCACTGCACACACACACACACACACACACACACACACACACACACACACACACACACACACACACGTCTTTGTACAGCTATCCTTGTTGGGACATTGCATTCACTGTGGACTGACGGACCGGCCTTTGGTCCCCATGAGGACTACTGGTCCTGACAAGGTCAGAGTTTATACCAGAAAAGGTCCCCAATAGGTAACAAAAACACACACCCATTGGATTTGATGCAAATACTGAACACACACAAAATATCTATCTAAAATCCATTGTATGTTATTACATATTATAATATATAATAATGATAAGACGGTCATAATAATTAGGATTATTATTATTATACTACTACACTATGCTCATACTTTATTATATATCTCATTCTGTACTGTACTGTTCATTATGTTACAATAAATCACAACATTAGTGCTGGGCGATATACCGGATCAACAGGTATAAGGGTTTTTAATCTTTTCATACACTATTATAATGTAGAACAATTGCTTGTGGTCATATATTGGTGTCACTTTACGGTTCATCCAGCAGAGTGTGCTGTTATCTACAATACTGTGGCAAACAGCACAGAGCGAGAGATGGGAAGCAGCTCTCACAAAGAGTATTTAACTTTAATAAAGTCCACTCCAGCTCTAAATTGTACTATAATCAGTGATCTCGTCCCTCTGAACTATCAGTAGGGCTCCGCTCTGTACCTCTGATGTTGGTTTCGAACACAGAGGCGTTGACGTCGATGTCAAAGTCCACGGTGTCCTGGAGGAGCGACGCCACGCGCTGAAACTCTGTGTGGTTTCCCAAAATCTACAAAAACAAACATCTTCACATTATTCCAGCAGCCCAACCTTTCCTATCGGCTGATAATCGGATGGCATCACTTACCAGCAGAGTGTCGAGAGCATCGATCAGAGTGAGCGAGAAGCTGTTGAGATAAAACGGAGGAGAGATATTTTATTGTTGAACATTGTGCACTAAAGATTTTCATGTTTCCCAAAAACAGAAGTGACATCGAAAGAACGTACCGTCAAATAAACAAGAGAAAGTAACGTTTGAAAGGCACGACTGGAAGAATGTTAAATATAAGGAAATATAAGGAGAAAGAGTTATTAGATTAATGAAAGAAAAGGCCTAAAGAAGGCGGCGATTTACATTTGTGACAGTTTTAAGTCACGTGACAAACAACGTTGCATATTTATATCGCCTCTCAAACAAAAGATAAACAAAGCTCCAGTATATCTATCCTGTGGAGAATCCCTCCGCGTACACGGTGAAACAGACCAAAGGACAGACCAGCAATGTGCCGATCAAAGTGTTTACTGTGCAGCCATCGTCGGCTCTCTCTCGCTGTCTGCCTCTCCACTCTGAGCTCTTTCTGTGAGCGGGCAGCGCCGCCGAGGAGAGACAGCGGTAGAGAGCAACCACACTCTCCACGCCACGTCACATTCAGCAGAATACAGACGGTTCATTCAGGGAATTCGGTGCTTTGGTGCAGCCAAACACAACCGAGTCTCGTCCAGAACACTTACAATATGAGCAGAACTGTCATTTAGCTTTACTTCAATATTTCAATATTTCAGACACGACGTCACCTTACCTGCCCCAGGTGTCTTGTCCGTCGCAGGTGAGTGGGCGGAGCTCGTCGTAGGGGAAAGCGTTGTCAAGGTAACTGTTGTAGGCATGGTAGAACATGGATTTGATGCGCTGTCTGAAAAATGAAGCGGTTTGAAGACAAGACAGTTTTTACATTCACAGCTAGGACAGATATTTATATACATAAATATATATATATTCTATTACAGTACAGTATTAGTACTCTATTACAGTGAGGTATTAGTACTCTATTACAGTACAGGATTAGTACTCTATTACAGTGAGGTATTAGTACTCTATTACAGTGAGGTATTAGTACTCTATTACAGTACAATATTAGTACTCTATTACAGTACAGTATTAGTACTCTATTAAGTGAGGTATTAGTACTCTATTACAGTGAGGTATTAGTACTCTATTACAGTACAATATTAGTACTCTATTACAGTGAGGCATTAGTACTCTATTACAGTACAGTATTAGTACTCTATTACAGTACAGTATTAGTACTCTATTACAGTGAGGTATTAGTACTCTATTACAGTACAGTATTAGTACTCTATTACAGTACAGTATTAGTACTCTATTACAGTACAGTATTAGTACTCTATTACAGTGAGGTATTAGTACTCTAACTGCATCAGTGAGGTATCTAGTTGTTTCTCTGCTGGCTGTGCTCTCTTAGTGGTATTAGTGGCTGTGTGTGTAAGTGAGGTATTAGTACTCTATTACAGTGTGTATTAGTACTCTATTAAGTAAGTATTAGTACTCTATTACAGTGAGGTATTAGTGTCTCTATGTAAGTACAGTATTAGTAGTGTGTTAAGTAAGTGTTAGTCTCTTTAAGTGTTAGTACTCTATTACAGTGTGTGTATTAGTGTGTGTGTGTCTGTACTGTATGTACAGTGATGTATGTAGTAGTGTATTAAGTACTGTAGTCTATTGTGTATTAGTACTCTATTAGTGTGTGTATGTAGTACTGTGTTACAGTGCTGTATTAGTACTCTGTAAGTACAGTGTGTAGTGTATAGTGATGTGTTAGTCTCTGTTACAGTGTGTCTTAGTAGTGTGTGTCTGTACTGTGTGGCATTACTGTCTGTGTGTGTGTGTGTGTGTGTGTGTGTGTGTGTGTGTGTGTGTGTGTGTGTGTGTGTGTGTGTGTGTGTGTGTGTGTGTGTGTGTCTGTGTGTGTGTGTGTGTCTGTGTGTGTGTGTGTGTGTCTATGTGTGTGTTTGTGTGTGTGTCTGTATGTGTGTCTCTGTGTGTGTGTCTGTGTGTGTGTGTGTGTGTGTGTCTGTGTGTGTCTCTGTGTCTGTGTGTGTCTCTGTGTGTGTGTGTCTGTGTGTGTGTGTGTGTGTGTGTATGTGGCTGTGTGTGTGTGTGTGTGTGTGGCTGTGTGTGTGTGTGTGTGTGTATGTGGTGTGTGTGTGTGTGTGTCTGTGTGTCTCTGTGTGTGTGTGTGTGGTACCTGATCCCAGCTGTCTCCTCCTCGGTGAACAGGTGAGTCGCAGCATCGTTCAGCAGCCAAACTAACAGCGCCACGCGGACGGGAGCGCGCATGGAGAGACACGAGGACACCCGGAAGAGAGCCCCGGGTCGCTACAGCTCCAAAAACACCTGAAAACAGGAAGAAGAGAGAGAACCGCGGGACGACAGGTGAGAGCAGCTGAGAGCAGCTGAGAGCTCTGGGGTTGTTGTGAAGCTGTCAGGAAGTAAGCGAAGTGCGCATGCGCCGTCCGATACGCTGACGCGGAAGCCAACCTGAGGTGTGTTCAAGAGCAGGCGGTGTTCAGCAACGTTGGCGAATGTAAATAAACCCTAATGTTCAGTTTTGTTGGGACGGAACGCATGCGTGGTTGGTTTCAAACAATGTAATAGCTTTTATTGAGTATCACAGTGTTAAGTTTGGTGTTTTTATCCAATAAAAACCTTGAATAGTAATAAGATTTAGGTTATAGCTGCTCATCGCTCTGTGGCCATTTGTAAATGATTTAAATCCTGAAAGTGGAACAGAGATTAAACTCCTGTTAAAGGAATGAAGTTGTTGTTTTGTTTTGGTTATTTATTCGTGTTTTGTTTTTCTTCCCCTTTCTGTTAGGAAATGTTGTTTGGATTCATTATGCTGTATGTTGACATTCATTCATGATTCCTGTTTGTTAACTCAAGATGTTTAATAAAGTCTGCTGGGAAGAACTGACAGAGCTGCGTTCAACAACAAACCGTTACTAAACGTTACACTTTGCTAACATTACTTATATAAAGATTGAATTAACAGTTTAGAGCACACTGTAGTGTGGTTGTGAGCAGACTTCCTACTTATACCCACATTATAATGTGTTGCAGTGTTGCCTGTGCTGTTTTTGCTTTATTCTAGCTAGAGGAACACACAGTGGAATAATTAGAGAAGTTCAAAGTGATGCAGAAACAGCGTCTGACTGAAGGCTTCAATCTGTGTGAAGGTTTAGAAATAGAAACTAATAGCAGCAGACGCTGGAGGTCGGTCAGAGTGGGGGGGGGGAGAAAAAAAAAAAAATTAAAAAAAAATTTTAAAAAAAAAAAAAAAAAAATTTTTTTTTTTTAAAAAGGTTTTTTTTTTTTAAGAAAAATGAAAAAGGGGGGAGGTGGGAAAAAAAAAAAAAAAAAATAAAAAAATAGAAATACAATTATCAAATCAAATCAACAGAGACCCAGAAAAAAAGTACTTTCAAAAATAAATAGATAAAGATAAGAAGGAGAAAGTGAGGAGCGTGGGTGCATAGGAGTTATATAAGGGTGATAGAGTCAAGACAGTGGGTAATCCGGGCTGTTAAGGAGGCCGGTGCAGCGGGGAGAATACTGAATGCTTTACAAACATGTTTGCAATAATTTGAATGGCCAGGATCCTTTATAGACATTTAACACTTATTAACATACATTTCGATAGAAGATAAAGCTGCGTACGAATGTCAATCCCAGTAAACAAAAGGGAGAAAGTCATGATGAGTTTGTTTTCATTATCCCATATTTCAGGGGGAGCTGCAGCCCCCTCATAAAGCTCTGAGGTTTGTATTTCTAATATAATCTAAACATGTGCTTGTGTGGCGTTCTTCAGGCGATTCCAACATTCAGAATATATGACGTGAGTTGACAGAAAACGTGGTGCTTTAAAGGTTAAAGGTTAGAGATGTGAGCCTATGACTGGCAGGATAAATCTGGGTGTGGAACAAACCCAGGAGGAGGGGCCTGCATGTGTTCCTGCAAAAAATAAAGCTTAAAAATAGAAACAAAATGTAAATGTAGAGCTGTTTTATGACTTTGGCTGGTCCGATTCTCCCGGAAACACTGAGCACAGGCATCGGGTGATATAAAAACTTTATTATGCTGGACAAAATAATTCACAATATTGTCCTGATAATCATCAGAATATACTTAAAACTCTACAACAAGTCTATTACTATTACTTTACATAACAGTCCTCCCTAATAATTACTTGTGCTCCCACTAACTCTGTCTGAGGTCTGACATTAAGGTCAGGGTGATTTAAAACATTAGTTTGCGTGTTGAGACATTTTAAACCCAGAAAATGCATATTTGTTTATAACTTTCACGTGATTTTTAAAAGCAGCATTGATTCATCACAGTTCAGTGATATAATTCAGTTCAGAGCTCAAACAACAGGATGATACCTCTTTATTGATTAGAGTTGGTGTGATCAGCTCCCATTAGCACAGTGATGAAACAAATATTGTGAGATGGCATTTAAGCAGAAAATTAAAAATTTAAAGAAAAGGAAAAAAAATTTTTTTTTTAGGCTTATTTCAAAGCACAGGTTATTTATTATTATTATTATTATTATTTTATTATGTTAAAGTTATTAATTTGTTAAAACTTTGATAGTAATAGGATCAGTTAAATTATCATTATTTGATTCTGCTAGGCTGTTATTATTATGTTTCAAGTTTTATCATTTTACAGTTATTGTTATTATTATGTTGTTAAAGTTATTATTATTATTTTTAAAAGTTATTATTATTATGTTAAAGTTATTATTATTATTATGTTTAAAGTTATTATTATTATGTTTAAAGTTATTATTATTATGTTAAAGTTATTATTATTATTATGTTAAAGTTATTATTATTATGTTTAAAGTTATTGTTATTATTATGTTAAATTATTATTATTATGTTTAAAGTTATTATTATTATGTTTAAAGTTATTGTTATTATTATTTTAAATTATTATTATTATGTTTAAAGTTATTATTATTATGTTTAAAGTTATTATTATTATTCTGTTTATTATTATTATTATGTTTAAAGTTATTATTATTATTATGTTTAAAGTTATTATTATTATGTTAAAGTTATTATTATTTGTTGTTATGGTCATTGTTATTATCTTTTTTAAAGTTTACGGAGACTTTGGCACATATTGATCCTGTTGCTATGTACAGTAGGTATCTAAGGTAAAGAACACTTTATGCAAACCGCTGTGGGAAAACAAACAGAACACTGACGTTTCTGTCGAACCAACGTAGCTGATAAAGCCACGCGACTTTGTGGTTTTCTATAATTTGGGGTGAGATTTGGTTAGAATTTGTTTGTGCAGCGTGAGAGGAGGAAACCTGCGCTGTAGAATAATCAAATCAGAGAGTTCACCACCATGTCACAGGATGCTCTGCTTGTATAATATGTTCACAGTGACAACAAAACAAAACATGTTCAGCTGTTAATGATCACCTTCAAAGTTTTGCATGTCAGCAATGTAGCACTTCCTAAGTAGCACAAAACACAAAGTAGAGCTGAATTACGTTATACTTTTTATACCATGGTGGAGGTCAAATCACAATATATGTAGAAATACTCAGTTACTAGATTAAGTCCTGCATTCCAAATGTTTAAGAAATGTACTTAAACTGGCAAAAGTAATTATTACTTTAAGTTTAGTTTAAATTGCTTTATATATTGCTGGGTACACACACACACATATATACACACACACACACACACGCACACACACACACACACACTCACACACATCGGTACCAGCATCAGCAGACAGGATGAATCTGAAGCGCCTGATATGCAAATTATGGTTCCTAAAAAGTTAATGGATAACATAATGAGTCAGTTAAAAAGCTGCAGATCTACGGACTAAACAAGAGTTCGGGGAACAGACAAGGATGGAAAAAGTTCTTCTGATCATCATCGCTGGAGCATCAAGCAAGTCCTAAAATGATTTACTCATTATATTTTTTATACACGTACAGTGCATATATATATATATATATATATATATATATATATATATATATCAATCTGTCTGTCACTGCAGGGCTGTGTGCTGTCTCATCAACTGCTGGACGTCAGTACCATTTTATTTATGACCTGAAGAACATGACTGAAGCCCAGAGTTACTGCAGAGAACATTACACAGACCTGGCCACTACAGACAACATGGAGGACGTGAATACCCTGAACAACATGGCAGATTTAAGCCAAATGGTCTACTCTGCATACAGCTATGTGAGTTCACTTTTATCTTTATTTTATTTCAAAACCATTTTTGACAATTATGGAAGTGACAGGCAGGTTGATGGAAAGTAAGTTGATGAACTGTAATAATATTTTGAGGTGCTTTACATGAGACTGTGTGTGTGTGTGTGTGTGTGTGTGTGTGTGTAGTCTATAACCAGTGTTAGAAAAAGTACTAAGATATCTGACTTAAGTAAAAGTAGCAAAACAACAATGTAAAGATTCTCCATTATTGGTTTATTAGTTACATACTCAAAGTAAAAGTCCTGCATTTAAGTTTAGTTTAGTTTATTTTAGTCTGAAAGCATCTAAATTAAGAGTTGTACTATTGTGGTAATAATTGCAACTGTAAAATACTGAAATAAAGTCGTAGAGGATCAGACTGATAGGCAATGAAGGTTTTCTGTACAAATATTTAAAAGCTAAAACAGACTCTAATGCTTTATGTTACATCTGAGGCTAAAGCAAAAAAATCTAATATTTCTTTCAGCGAGCCTGGATCGGGCTGTACGATGACGTGGACAGCTGGAGGTGGTCACTGTCAGACAGAAGTTTCTACGGACTCGGGGAGACTGAGTTCAGACAGTGGTATCCTGGACAACCAAACAATGCATATGATCAACTCTGCACACATATTAAGTCGAGTGGACTGTGGATAGACTACTTTTGTAAACGTCAGTTCAAGTCTGTCTGCATGGATGTCAGAGGTGAGAATATCAACCAGTGAAGTTAAAAACATATTAGTTCAGTTTCTGGAACTTTTCTCTGCTTCTCTTCGCCTCTTTGGTAAAGTGTCAGTCAGTCAATCAGATAAACTTTATTTGTATAGCACCTTTCATACAGTGCAAAGTGCTTTTCTGATGACTTATATGGTGATAATAATACAGCAAAATCAGATCCAAATACTTAATGTGTTTGACTCGAGTTATTTAAATACAGTGTGAATTTGCCTATAAAGTAATTAGATCAGTTTTGTTGTTTTTGTTTAATTGCCTGTTTAAGTCTAAGAATAATATTAGAAATAAAAAAACAAATATATTGTACGCGACAATTCAGTGTCGATTTTAAAGATTCAGAAATCCTCAATAACATTTATTTGTAGTTTTTACAAATTCATTAGTTTATTGATGTGGTTCCTTATATCTCTGTGGATTTATAATACCATGATTTTTGCCACACCTTGGCAAATTGTATGTTATGGTACCTCTGCCCAGCACTTCACTGTGGTCTCTTTCCAGGACCCAATGTGACATTTGTCCTCAACAACAATCTCATGACATGGACCCAGGCCCAGAGCTACTGCAGAGAACACCACACAGACCTGGCCAGTGTGAGGAACAAGGCAGAGAACAAGAAGGTGAAGGAGCTGGTACCTTCAGGAAGAGACCTCTGGATCGGCCTTTTCAGGGACTCCTGGAAGTGGTCGGATGGAAGTAACTCCTCATTCAGGTACTGGCTACCAGGGGAACCTACTGTTAAGAACGAGCCTTGTGTGGCAGCAAACTTTAACAACTCTGGAAAATGGGAGAACTGGAACTGTGACCTGAAGAGAGCATTCATCTGCCAACGTGAGTGGTAACCCATGTTTCAGATAGTATTTATATTTGGATTCAGGTTTAATTTAGCATCAAATGTCCCAAATGAGAATGTAACTAAAGCAATACAGACATCAGGTTTTGGACAGAAGATAGATTTTAACACTGATGATGTTGATCATTTTCATGAATTCTTTTTTCCTTTTTTACCATGGTGATGGCTGCACGTGCACATGGTGTCACAAACCCAAAAGCAGAACAGACAGGTTGGTGAAAAACAAGTCTTTTATTCTTTAGAAGACGCTGAATAAGGTGAGCTGGTGGCGGGCTGATGTTTGGGCTGCAGTGAGGTCAGGTATCCAGGGGAGAAAACGTGCAGTGGGGAAAACTGGGGAATGAGAGCTGGTGACTGGCTTGGCAAACTGGTGTGGAGAGCTGGCAGACAGGTGATCCTGGAGGCAGAGAGAACCAGTGTAAAGAACTCTGGCAGACAGACAGGCAAACCAACTAACAGGCTTGCAGCAAGACTGGCTGACTAGACTCTTCAGTGAGCTGAAGCGAGGCTCTAACATACTGTAGACTCTTCTCATTCTCTGTTTGGTGCCTCCTCGTCTCTTCTCTCCGAAACCATTCCTTGTTTGCATTTGACCTTGATACAGGTAGTTGCTTTGCAGATGGGATGTGTGTATGCAATAAAAAAACAATAAAAAAAACATAAACTGTTGAAATTCTGAGGAATGCCTATATTATATGAACATATATTTATTTTCACAGTTAAGAAGCAAGTGATAAAACTGAGTGTGCTGAAAGACTCCTCTCTGGATCTGAATGACCCTGCTGTGGTGGAACAAGTCTTGAAGCAGGTAAATCATGTTTGACCTTTCAAACTGTATGCAAACACAGAACAACCACATTTACAGCAAATTACAATAAAACTTTATTCACATTACAGCAGTACAAAAACAGTCTGACGAGGTTGGAAACAGATACAGAGTTATTTAAAATAATAAATACAGCAACATAAGAACATTAAATGATATTCAGAAGCTGTATACATTACAATACTTTGGCCATATACGACTTGAGCATTGTGCAGGAAGCTGTGCAGATACATATGTGCTGAAATAAACAGTCTAGTAGAGCCACTCTGCAGGCCATATAGTTAAGAGTCAACACTCAGCACTCAACTATCTGCCATCAAATGCAGCAGGAAAATGTGCAAATACAATCTAACAATCCGAGAAAAGCCAGAGCATTACAATAGAAGACATAGGGGGAAGAAAGTTCAAATGTACAACAGGTCAACAGGTTGAAGGAACATATGACTAACAATGCAGAATGTAATATCTCTGTGTGAGTGATAATGGTGAGGAGTTCTGTGTCTCAGATCAAACAGAGGCTGAAGGACCAGGGGGTGAATCAAGACATCAAACTGAGCTGGAGGAAGCAGTCAGATGGAAAGATCTTCCACAAGGACGAGAAGGAGACAGAGAAGAGGAAGAAGAGGGAGCTTTAATTGCTGTGTCTGTTTTCATCAGAGTCCTCATGTAATGGGTCAGAATATATCTGCAACAATCAGTCAGTTAATCAATTCATAATTTTATTTAACAAGCAAAAATAACAAATATTCACGGGTTCCAGTTTCTTAAATGTGAGGATTATATCATTGTCTGCAACATTGCATGTTTCCACTAATGTAGGATATTTTTTATCATAGATATCATGTCTCAAATAGATAAATAGGTGGTAATTATATGTCACCTAGTTTAATTCTGCAGCCCCTGTAGATTCTCCTTTGGGCCTGGAAGGGGAAGGTGAAGTGTGGGAGTTGCAATCTAAGATAAAATATGATTAAATTAGATTAGATTAGTTTCAATTAAGATTAGATTAGATACTGTACGATAAGATAAAACAGGTAATAGAACATAAGAATTGACTGGAGGCAACTCCAGTGGAAAAAAAGCACCATTTAAAAAGACGGCCTTTAATGTTGTAAAGAATCTTTAATCGTCTTTCTTCATTTAACATTCTGTATTTACAGCAGCAGCCTCCAGTTATTTGATCCAGAATGACTTTGATAAGATAAGATTTACTTTTTCACTCTTTTTTATTTTATACACTCACAGGCTGAAATACACTATCATGCACATGCAGGGCTTGTGGACATGCAAACATGGAGAGAGATGGTGGAGTGATGGGCTGCCATGTTAGCAGTGGTCCAGGAGCAGTTTTGGGGTTAGGTGCCTTGCTCAAGGGAAGTGCACGGGAGGTGAAACTTGCACCTCTCCAGCTACCACTCCATACTATTGTCTGTGGGACTTGAACCGGCAACCCTCCGGTTCCAAGCCAAGTCCCTACAAGTCCCCAATGATGATGTTGTTCTAGCTAACAGGAGCTAAAAGCTGAAAAGTGAGAGGGCGGTGAGAACTTCATGAAAAATGACAGCATGAAATCCAGTGTGTTGTTATTAAAGTGTGAAATAAAACATGAAATAAAAGTGTCATTGGAGAAAATGCCATCCTAAAATAAAAACTAAACAAATACTTTTTAAAAAGAGCATTTTTACATAAAAATGTATATTGAATGTACATGAAATTAGAGTAATAAACATATGTTAGTGTGAAAAATGGAGCTGTGTTGAATAATTTCTTCAAATATTAAGTTGGGTTTGTTGATGAACCTTTTTACATAATATTTTAAATAACTCATAAAGTTATTGCGTGTGTTATTGTGAAAATGAATGATGAAATAACAGTTTATAATAATTGGTTGAGTTTAGTAATTTCCTTACTAAATTGTGCTTATTGAGTTACCTTTGCAAATGTGCTGTTTACACAGATCAGTTATACAACAAAAAGTTGTAAATCAACATATTGATGTATGAGTGTTTACCTTAATGATTAGATTAAGCTTTTAGTAAAAAAAACATTAATTCCAGATAAAATTAAAGCTGCAAGCAGCAGTGAACAGGCCCTCGCACTCCGCACTTGTCAGGTTGTACTGCAGCTGCATCATGTGCCAGTGTATCATGTGTGGACCATGACACGAAAATTGAATGTATATCAGATTATAATCACCACACAGGGCTTACTTCCTATTGCCTGTAGGGGGCGCTATGACTATATCTGTGTTCAGGGCAGGACTCTTATCAAATATATGAAGTTTTGTTGAGATTGGACCAAGTACATTTATGACAACTTCCTGCTTTATGGCAAATCTTTAAAATCCGATGCCACGCCATTCAACGTACAGTCACAAATAGCAAAACTCTTCATCGTGAAAGTCTTTAAAATGTACTGATTAAATTCCCTAGGTGTAGTTCGCTCAAATACATTGTGAAAAAACGCCAAAAATGACCACAAAAGTAAAAATTGCTTAGTTCCTGTTGGGTTCGGGGTTTGGATCCAGGAGACTCTTCTGCTGGAGACGGTGCCTACCACGCATAATCTATCTATCTATCTATCTATCTATCTATCTATCTATCTATCTATCTATCTATCTATCTATCTAATATGTTTTGAGTCTTCTGACCAAACTTCAGCTGGATCTGATCAATCTGCTAGGAGTAGAACTTGATCAAAAACAGACATTTTCTGTTGCCAGTAGGGGACATGTGCATTATAGTGCTGACTGGACAAAGTACACTGAAGGTATGTCAACTTGCAGTTTTGTGGCGAAACGCTGCCCACGCTACGGACACGCCCTCTGACAAAGACTCACAAATCGTGATGGTGTTTAGAGTCGAATGACCAAATGTGAAGTCAATTTGATCAATTCTTTCGGAGGAGTTTGTTAAAATACAATGTGTGCAAAATGCCCAAAACCATATTAACCATATCCAGCCATATTACAAAATGGCTGACTTCCTGTTGGGTTTGTGATATGGCTCCAAGAGGGTTTTTTGTACGTCTGGACATGATCTACATGTGTACCCCTTTTCATACTCGTATGCCACGACTGACATGTTTCATGACATTCGGAGCATGTTTAGGCTTCCAAAACTGCAATTTCGTAGTAGGAATAATAATAATTCCTTCGAATACAATTGGGCCTTCACACAAGTTCCTGCTAATAAAAATAATAATAATAATTAATAACAGCCCAAGCAGTTTCATTAAAAAAAATAAAATCTTTTTAACCGTTTAAGATTACACCGCCCGCCCCCTTTGAAGTGCCCTAGTAGCTCACCTGGTAGAGCTGGTCACTCACGTACCAAAGCTGGTTGAATAATAATCATTCTTCACAGATTTTCTAATTTCCTTGGCCTCGTCATGTTTCAACCATCAAACTGAATGTTTGAATAAAGGGAAATTCTTGACACTGGCTTATCCAGTACAGTGTCAGCAAGCAGTATGAAACTGAAACATCTGATAGGCAAATAATTGTTCCCATAGCCACTTTGCATGAACGCTGAGTTAAAAAGTTAATGTGTAACATAACAGCTGTTAATGTCAACAGCTGCATATCTGCAGTCACAGACTCAAAGAGAGTTCGGGGGACAGACAAGGATGGAGAAAGTTCTTCTGTTCATCATCACTGCAGCATCGGGCAAGTCTTTAGTTTTTTAAATGAGTTATTTATTATCAATGTTTTAATAGAATTGTATTGTGGTGTCCTTGTGACAGCACTGTGACAACTTAAGACACCATTACTTTAATTGTACATAACCTTTCCCTGAAGTCAGGGATCCCAACCTTTTTCCTTAAGGGAGCGCTTTTCTATCATTGAGTAAACTAAGTGACATATTTTAAGGATATTTCCCATTATATTCAGTGCATAACTATAACAGTATAGAACAATTGATAACCACAATGACTGCAGGAAGTTTGGATGAATTTTTTAAGCTTTTTTTTTTTAGCATTTGGAGCTTTTTTTTATTATTTCCTGTGAATATTGATCAGAGATGAGTTTTGGTTTGTATTATGTATTTATTGATTTTTGAACAATCATACAGACTTAATAAGCTTTTTCTTTGACAACTTAAGTGTTTACTTCTCCTTGATCCTTCTGCTAATAGCTGTTTGGGTTTTAGAACCGTGTACTTTTCAAGGAGTCAAGGATATGTTATTGTCATTCACAACAAGGTTGTAATCAAACATTAGATATAGTTCACAAAAAACAAAAATAAACAAAAAAACTGATCATTTAGTCATAAATAAATGCGTAATTATTTTAATGCAGGATGATGAGATATAGGCCTACTGTGTACATTTTTAAAGTTGTGCCTCTGCATGTCTGTCACTGCAGGGCTGTGTGCTGTCTCATCAACTGTTGGACGTCAGTACCATTTTATTTATGACCTGAAGAACATGACTGAAGCCCAGAGTTACTGCAGAGAACATTACACAGACCTGGCCACTATAGACAACATGGGCGACGTGAATACCCTGAACAACATGGCAGATTTAAGCCAAATGGTCTACTCTGAATACAGCTATGTGAGTTCACTTTTATCTCAATGACGTTAGTGATGGAACATAATGATAGTGGTGGAAAGTAAGTAGATTAACTTTTGTTTAAATAACTATTTATAGAGGTCAAGTTATCCAATATTTCACAAAACAATTAGTCCAAAAACATTTGTTCATCTTTGTTTTTTCTTCTTTCCTCTCCCATTAATCATCTGACGACCCCTCAGATTTATCTCTTGGTGGGGCCCAACCTCTACGTTGGGAACCACTGAACTAAACTGTATATAAAGTAATTCAAACTAGCTCCAACAGTGAAATGCTGCTCTAATATTGATGCATCAGTACTAACAATCTAATCATGTCACATCAGTAACAGGAGACATTTTATTGCATTATAAGTATACTTTAGATACACTTAGCTGATAATACCTCTGTTTTTCGACAGAGACGTTTAAAATGCAGGACTTTTACTTGCACATAACTTCCATCCTCCTGCTCTTACGCACATTTTTAATCAGGAAACAATGTGCAATGGAAACAGATGTAGAGAATAAATCATATTGTGCAGGAAACGTATGACTAAAACTACTCTAAAATATTGACAATATGCTATTTTTGCCATGTATTTCTATTTTTCTATATCTTCATCATCATCTATTATGCTTAAACCTTGGCTACTACTGATGTATGATTTGTGCATGAGGGTGATTCATCACTGATTCACTCTAATAAGGATTCTGCTATTCTTGCCATCACCACTTAAGTGTGGCAGCACAATATCATTAAGTTCATATCAGAAAATAAACGTTCCTCAGTCCTCAGTCTGCACGCATAGTCGCTCATTCTAAGGTAACGAAAACACAACTATTCTTATATTCAGGTGATTATCCACTAATGAAAACCCTTCGAATATTATATTACATTTCTGACAGATCCTCTTAAATGGTCGTTTGAACGTCACTTCCAGTGAAGAGAGAAAGAGAAATGTCTGATTTCCATCATGTTTGCTATCATTTGAACTTTGACTGGAGCTCTTGGAGACGTTGTGTCCTCTTCTTCTGCAATGGCTTAATGGCACAGACTGGAGAAGGCTACTCCAGCTGTTTATCTCCATCAACAGATAAACTCATATTCACATATCAGTACATTTTATTTTACACTATATTTGTATGGAAACTTGACGGCAAACTACGAGCTTACTAGTAGCGGAGGTAGTATTACAGAAAGATAACAAAAAAGTGACTCTACAGGTAATTACCTAACTCGAAAAGTGGATTTAGTTTTAATTTACTTTTTATACTCCTTGATTCCACCGGTCATGGCTCTGTGATGTCGCATCTGCGAAGCTGTTTTATTCTGTCCTCCACATGGCTTCACCGACCAGGAGTGTTTCAGTTTCAATTATTTAATTTATTTGTATAGCACCAGAATCATAACAGAAGTTATCTCAATGACACTTCAAATAGAGTAGATCTAGACTGTATCTTTATAAAATGATTTACCCAATAGTTCCCACCATGAGCAATCCCTTGGCGGCAGTGGCAAGGAGGGTTATGCCTGTCTGATTTTGTTGACTTGTTCAGGCTTTTGTTGATTTGGTCATTTTTTTTCTTGATTTATGTGCTTCTACCATGGATAGTAGGCTACGTAGTTAAGTCTTTTAGTATTTTGACAATCAGGTGACTGCACATGGTGTTTTATTTTGGAAAGGTGACACAGCTGTAACCACAGGAATCAGCCAGTTAGGAAGTATTATGTATTTAACTGTGATTGTAGCTAATTTAGTTATGATTTAATTTACAGTAGTGAAATTCAAAAGGTTTGAAGCCACAAAGTAAAGCTAAACTAAGTAAAATAATATGTCATATTACAACAGAGGCTAAAGAAACACAAATGAAATGTTGCTTTCAGCGAGCCTGGATAGGGCTGTACGATGACATGGACAGCTGGAAGTGGTCACTGTCAGACGGAGGTTTCTACAAACATGGGAAGTTCAGACACTGGTCGCCACGAGAACCTAACAACCACAAAGGTGCAGAACTCTGCACAGAGATGTATGATAATGGACTATGGAATGACAACAGTTGTGAAGAACCTTTGAAGGCCGTCTGTTTTGATGTCAGAGGTGAGAATATTAACGAGTGAAGTTTAGTGCTTGAGCTCTCTGCCTTTCTGCTTCTCTTTGCTGTCTTTGGTTACATGAGGGTCATTTAAAGCAGA